ATCTGAAAATAGGTTAAGAATACTTTAGCCCCCAAGACATTTCATCACTACTTATTGGATAAAATGAGTGTAAGCTTTGGCTCAGTGATCAAGACGAGAGGAAATAGGAAGGACAAATAGCCACACAAGCAAGTTGGTCTCCGTGTGAGGACAGCAAAAACCACCCTAGAATGCCTCTCAGCGAATTCTGCTAACATCTCACTGGCACTACCGTGTAACACAGCCATCCCCAAATGTGAAGACTAAGAAATCAAGCACAGTATTTAATTTTCTTGTGGCCCTAGCAAAGGGAGAAAAGGAAGACATGTTGAACAAGCCCATCTTTAGTACATGCCACACTAGGGAACAGCAAATCAAGCAAGTTTATCTTCTACGAGTTTTAAGCATGTCTTTTAGAATGGCCAGCATAAGAAAAATATAAAGGTATGAGATCTGAATAGTACTTTTTTGTTTTTTGAAACTGAACTCAAGGAACAGTTCATCCGATTTTCACTGTGGGCAAAAAATTATCAATAAAAACCCAGATATTGTGCTCGCTTCAGCAGCACATATACTAAAACTCAGATATAATGAAATAAGACCCAGAAAACATAAAACTTCCTGACCATTTTAGAATCTCTACTGGATCTTCCTTAGGCCCACCTTAAACACCTCTGGTACTCCCTAGGCTTCTCCTCTCTTGGTATTCTACCCTCATTCATGCCTAAAGCTTGAGGAACCACATGCATTTTGGAGATTCACATTTTTAAAAAAAGTTCTAGCCCAAATCTTTCTTCTGTCTCAGACCCACAATCTAGTCATGTGCTGGATATTTCTATCTGGCTAACGTTTTCCCCCCAAGGACTGAGGACTGAACCCAGGCCTCATGCATGCTTTGTAAGTGTTCTACCACTGACAATCACTAGCCCTAGACAGAATAATTTCAAAGTGTTTGAAACAGAATCTATTCTTGGCTTATTCAAGCCTCTACATCTTCTTGTGGTTTTTAATCACATTATGGTGGCATTCAGTTTTCAAAGCCAAATCTTTGGAGTCATTATATCACTGTATTTTCCTCATTCCACATTTATCAAATCCTTTTGATTTTATTATTAAACAAATTCCATCCTCTTCTCTCAATGTCCATGGCCATAGATTTACCTTAGGTAGTCATCATCTTTCATTTAAACTATCACAACTCCTTTAAATTAATTTCTTTGGCATAATCTCTTCCTTCTTTCCTGTCTATTCTTTATGTGCCTAAAAATCAGCCCAAGGCCTGATTTATATAACAAGGTCCACTGGCTCTTTTTGTTTTGTTTGAAATAGGGTCTCCCTATGTTGTTCAAGCTGGCCTTGAACTCATATAATGTAGTCCAGTCCAGGCCGGCCTCAAAATCATAGTGATCCTTCTGCCTCAGCCTCCAGAGTGCTGGAATCACAAATGTGTGCTACCATGCCTGGGTTTCACTGGCTCTTAAGTATCTAAAGGATAGAGGCAAAATTCTTTCCCATGGTTGCAATCATGGACGCATGATGTTTTTTCCTGTTTCTATTTCTTCCTCCCTATACCTTATACTCCAGACATACTCACCATTGTATATATCTCAGACACTTCTGGGTCTTGGGCTTGTTTTTGTACAAACTTTCTTCTGTTTACGGTGTTTTTAATTAACTTTTTTTTTTTCCAGTACTGGGGATTGAACCCAGGGGCTTGTACATGTTAGACAAGTGCTCTACCACTGAGCTACATTACCCAGGCATTAACTTCTTTTTTGGGGTGGGGTGGGGTGGGTACCGGGGATCGAACTCAGGACCTTGCACTTGTGAGGCAGGTGGCGGAACCACTGAGCTAAATCCCCGGCCCCCTTAACTCCCTTCTTTAGAAGTAAATTCTTATCTTTTCCAGAAGAGTCAGCTCAAATATCACCATCTTTGTGCTCTTCTCTGTCACCAGAGCAGAGGTTCCCCTTTTTGTTATATATCTCTATTAAACATCCTGTAGTATTATGATGCCTGTTTCCCACTGTATATAAGCAGTATACAGGCATGGAACAGGCAGTATATAAATGGTTGGTGAGTGAGTAAACCAATTTCTAATAACATCAGGCTATGTCTAATTTATATATTTAAGGAAAGAAGAAACTTTTATAGATAAGAACTAGAATACCTTAAACATTTATCATTTTTTTGGTGTGTGTTGGGAATCTTTGAACTCCTCTCTTTTAGTTCCTTATGAAACATACAATACATTGTTGGAAACCATAGTTATCCCACTGAGTGTTCCATAAACACTGGAACTTCTTCCTCCTATCTAATTTTGGTACCCACTATCCAACCTCCCCGCATCCCCTCCCCCTCCCAGCCACTATTCTATTCTCTACTTCTATGAAATCATCTCTTTAGTTTCCACATTTGAGTGAGACTATGCAGTATTTGTATTTTTGTGTCTGCCTTATTTCACTTAACATAATGTCTTCCGGTTTCATCTTGTTGCTGCAATGACAGGGTTTTATTGCTTTGGCTATAATATTTCTTTGTGTACATATACTACATTTTCTTTAGTCATTCATCCACTGATGGATACCTCAGTTGATTACTTATCTTTGATGCTGTGAATAGTGCTGTAATATACACTGGAATGCAGCTGTCTCTTTGATATATTGATTTAATTTTCTTTGGATATAGATCCAGTAGTGAGATAGTTGGATCAAATAGTAGTTCTAATTTTATTATTTTTTTGAGACAGGGGCTCACCATGTAGTTCAAGCTGGTCTTGAGCTCATTATGTAGCTCAGGCTGGCCTCGAACTTGTAGTAATCCTCCAGTCTCAGTCTTCTGAGTGTTAGGATTACAGGTGTGTGCCACCATGCCTGGCAGTAGTTCTAATTTTAGTGTTTTGTTTTTTGGGTTTTTTTGGCACTGGGGATCGAACTTGGGTCCTTGCGCTTGCGCAGCAGGTAGCGAAACCACTGAGCTAAATCCCCGGCCCTAATTTTAGTGTTTTGAGGAACTTCCATACTGCTTTCCATAATGGTCTTACTAATTTACATTAGAAGGAACTGATAATTACCTTGATTTGATCATTATACATTGTACACATATAATGAATTATCACACTGTATCCCATAAATGTGTACAATTACAGATAATTTTGAATGGAAAAGACATAAAAAGAATACCTTTAAAAATATTCTCACTCAGACCGGGGATTTAGCTCAGTGGTTTTGCTGCCTACTGCATAAGCACAAGGACCTGAGGTCGATCCCCGGAACCAAAAACAAATAATAATAATCTCACTCTTTTCTCGTTCATAGAACCTTTTTTTGGCAGGGAAAAATCTGCAGAAACTGTTCATTCAGTTACTCAGTAACCACTAGGTGCCAGGCGGTACAAACATCTGAAGACATACATGACTCAGAGAGCTCACATTTTAGTAGGGAGAGTGGACATGTATTCAAATAATCTCAATATAAACCATTACTTCTTATCCAAGACTTCTTTAACAGCAACCGAGTATAGGCCCAACATTATAGAGACTGTTTTCTGAGTTGCAGCAGCAAAAATGTTAGTGCAACAAGGGAAGGGTGGGTAAGTGTGACGATAACTTACTGTAGGCATTGGGAAAAATAATGACCAGAGAGCACTGGATAGGCTAGCCTTTGGCCAAGTGATGGACATAAAGAAAGAACTATAACTTAATTATGGCATTAGAATTATCCAACGTGATTTTGAATAACTGACAGCATTATGTAATAAAGCAAGAAAAAAAGAACAGGTAAGAGTGATTAAGTGAGTATTTTATACAGAAATTACTAATAAACCAAACACACTCCCACACTCTGCCTTTCTTTAAAAAAAAAAAGCTCTTATTTTAGCATTATATAAGATATGATATTTATGGTAGCTGAGGATGAGTAGCAATCAGTGGCTTTTGCAATAGTGTTGGATTCTGAAGTGATGAAGCATTTAATATGTGTTGTTAATTTCTTCATGTACCTTACAGTCAAATATTATTCTTACTATAGGGTAAGATAAAAATAAGATAATGAAATTTGTCCCCTCAATAACATCTTTTCACTTGAAGATTTCATATTCATTCATTCCCAATATCTTGGTCAGATATATTGTAGAAGGAAACTAAAGTATAGAGGTGAACAGCTAAAGGTCAATGGATAAATCAATAACAGATCTGGAAAAGGATATACATTCTAGTTCTTGATCTAGGTCTAAGTCATATCCTCATCATGAAATGTTTCTTCCATTAAAAGGGTTTCTGAGCCAAGGATTTAGGGCAGTGGTTTCGCCGCCTGCTGCGCAAGTGCAAGGACCAGAGTTCGATCCCCAGTACGAAAAAAAAAGCCTTCGATAACTATAAAATGAGTTTAAACACTGAGGAAATACAAGTGTGCTAATTCTGTTTCAATAAGATTCTAGACTCATCTGTTAGAACAGATGAGAAAAAAGCATTACTCAATTCTAGAGTTGGGAGGGAATATATTTGTCTATATTTCCCCACATGCTTCTATTTTTCATATCTTCTTTAGTCCTTAAAGCATCTGCCATGCAATGCAGCTATTTTAATGAATAGAACAAATGTATTATTGAATATTAGTGAAATAACTAAAACCATAAGTAGGCATGTAGTACAGTGTATTATAAATGAGTATTATTCTTATGTGGCAACAGAGCCATCAATATTCTATCAGGAATTAAAATGATAATAAACTAAGAGAGTATCATAGTAAACTTATTTATCACAACAATTACTACGCAAAAGGAAAATTTAAATGTTAACTACATAAAATTTACAGAACTCTTTAGCAATCTAACTTCCATACTTCGTTGTATTAAAAAGCTCTTAATTTGACATTACTTTTGATTTTGGAGTAAGAATCATTCATTCTGAGCAGAATTTACTAAGGTTTGAGAACTTATTGAAAACATTTAAATGAAGCCTTGAATTATTACCTGCTGAATTTCAATCAGTGAAGCCCACACTTTTCTTCCTAAATGCCTACCTGCGCATTGGCTTTCCTTCCATGCACCATGAAAAGCACCCCTTACCACACTCTAAAGCCGAACCTAAAACAATAGAAAAGCAGTAACTTAATAAAAGCTATTTCTGATTTTTTCCAGCAACAACTTTTGTAATTACTTCACTCATTTCGTCAGTCATCAAGAATTATATTCCAATATACCCAGTTCTTTTGCAGATGCACAGGCACAACAGAATCTAGTCCTTTAAAATGACTATTAATTTACTCTGCCTGCTAAAACGACTATAAGCGAAAGCGAGGAAAAGTGCACTGAATAGTTTGCTTGCTAGGTCGGTCTTGTGTCTTTTCAAAAAGTGCTTGGAGGCATTTAATTTTGACTTCGCCATCAAGTATATTTACAGAGTATATTTACTGAGCAATAATCTGATACCCATGGCAGTACTAATCTGACGTATCGGTAAGGGAATATATTGGTTTAACAACCAATCTTAAGGTGGTTAACTTGTCCGAAAGTGACAGGAGCAGGAGGCGGCATGTGCCTTTCAAAACAAGCAACTCCGCTTCCGACTGCCGGGGTAGCCGGGAAGTAAGGCTCCAGACTAACACTCTACGAGTCCTTCCTTTAGTTCCCGAAACACTGGTCAACACCCACTTGGCAGGATCTCGCCAGGATCCGAGGGTTAAAAGGGACGCATAAGTAACCTACTTCCTCCCCCCAAATTCCAGGAGCTGCCTGGGGAAGCTCTCTGGGGTGCAGACCCTAGTGTCCCAAGCAAGACAGCCCAGCACCTACCCCGGTTTCAGGATAGGGCTGTCAGTCAGCAAAAGCGCAGTCTGGCTCCCCGCGAGGCCCGGCCCCGGAGCCCCAAAAGCCTCTTTTCGGCGGCGCCTACTGACAGGCGACTGACAAAGCACTGCCCTGACCCCATCCGACAGCTTCTTAACTTGGAATTACTCATTTGCAAAGCTAGGCTTGGAGCGCTGTCTTCGGCCCACAGCTCTAAGGCAGCTCACTTACTGGCTCTGACACTTTTTTTCTGCAACAGCCTCCTCTGCCTCCTCCGCCCTCCTCTCTCTGCCTCCGCCTCTGCCGCCGCTACCGCAAGCAAGATGCAGCTCTTGGAGCTATTTCCTTTCTTTGCAACCGCCCCTAGCCACTCGCAGGAAGCGGTCCTTTGACTAAATCCTCCCGGCCAAAACCCACATAGCCCAGCAAGCCGTTCCGACGCGGCTCCGGAAGTAGCCGCGCCCTTTGCTAGGGATCCTGGTAACCTTAAAAGACTTCCTGTCCTCAGATCCAATTTCTTGTACCTCGAGGATGATCACTTAGTTTACTGATGAACTGGCAGTATTTAAATACTGAAACTTCCTTTCTTTCTTTTTTCCTTTCTTCCTACTCCCAACAAAGGTAACAGAAAGATGGTAATAGTTACGGAAGAGTAGGAATTTTGATTTGTGTGTAACTGGTGTGCCCTCTTCTGGCACAATGTTGTCCTTGATTGTGGATTGAATTATTGACACACACACATCATGTATGTGTGTGTGTGTGTGTGTGTGTATATACATATATATATGTATATATATATATATATATATATATATATATATATA